AAAAAAAAAAAAAAAAAAAAAAATGGGGAAGAAAAATACAGCGGGTAGAGAAACCACCGATCATAGACAGCCGCTTACCTGATTGTAGTCGCACCAATTTCCATCAGACAAATTCACATCGTAATAAATTTTTCCTTTGGTGTCTTCCACGATGAAATTGCCTTGCGGCAGGAACTCCACAAGTTCGATTCTGCAAAGCGGGGTGTGTGGGGGGAATGGCATTATACAAGAACGGGGCAAAAGCGTTCACTTGGCATGCTCTTTCTCTTGCCGTAATAAATATGTTCGTTGAAAGCTCTTTATTTGTTCCTCTAAATTTTTTAAATGCATCTCTCCCATGGGGTTGTACCCTCGACATTCGAAGGTGGCAAAGTCTCTCCAGTCGTTGTCCGCTCCGCTGTCGTAGGAGCAACCGGTTTTTGTCTGCAAGGGGGGGAGGGGTAGGATAAAATATGATGCCAAAAATATGTGTGAAGAATTGGTATACCTAATTAGAAGGAACACATGCATGTCGGCGTGAACGTGGAAACCCCTGTGTGTATCTCTTCAACTGCGCCTTGTCCATACCTTCACGAAGTTTATGGTCGAGTATTTCGGGTACTCAGTCCACTTGATTAGAAAATTGGCCGTTCTGCGGGGGCGCAAAAAAAGGGGGCGCGTTACATACTATATGGAGAGAGAGAGACAGGGGGGGGAGAAAAAATACTCCCATTTGTGAGTCCTTACCCCCTGCTGTTGGGAATTTCTAAAACGTCCGTATTCCTAAATTGGATGTTTTCTCTGGTGAGGGAAGACGTGCTGTCCTTAACTGGTAAATGGGGAGGGGAAAAGATGAGTGGGTACAGGGAGGAAAGGTATAAGATGATGGGCCAATTGCTGGGCAGGCATGTAAATTCACACTGCCGTGTGCTTCCGTCCAATTCGTACTGTTAAAGACCCACAGGAAGTCATCGTCATAGTATAACTTCTTAACATTTTCCAACTCGGCTTTTATTCGAAGTACGGTGTTCTTCATTTTTTGATGCAGCTTGTGCGTGCGGTATGTTTTTTTTTTTTTTTTTTTTTTTTTTATGAGAAGATCGGTTGGGATTAGCTAGCTGGGAGCATCCTTTGGGGGGGAGGAAAGGACGTATGATCGTTAGACGGTGTGTGGAGCGGTGGTGTGAGGCGACCATATATATCACACACAGGATGCGTGAAGGAAAAATCCCAATTGCACTCTTCTTCCCTTTCGCAAAAGAGTAGCTGCAGTGGAGGTAATTTTGCTACGTGCACGCCTTGACGCAGATGGGACAGTTGTAAGATTCCATATGCACATAATCAGGGGCAGGGGGAGAGAGACTACCACACTGGCGTAAATCATCCATGCAGTGATGTATGATGTATGCCTCAGGAAGTGCCAGAACGACTCCCACTGTTGCGGGTGGCTTACCTAAAGGAGGGTTCCTGTTTTGTGCACGCAAGTAGGTCGTAACAGAGCTTTCTTCGTTTAGCTAAAAATGTTACTGGGGAAGGTCCCTACAGGATAGCATGCATTTTACTTTGTAAAGCTTATTTTCTTTTTTGCAAAGCCTTTACGATAGGTGGGGAAAGAATACACTATAGAGCCATGATCTAATCTTTTGCTCCTCATATCTACACGTGCAGATGCTGACACAGGGAAAAAAAAAAAAAAAAAAAAAAAAAAGTCTCTCAGTACGGTCGCAGTGTGGTATTATTCTGTGCGTGCAATCCGTTTAGGTCATTTTTTTTTTTTTTTTTGCAATTTTTTTGTTCGAGAGAGAAAAAAGTGGAACCATTTTATAATTGCTCAAAGGGATGTGCAGAAAGAATCTTTACAAAAATGGCATAAATGAATCTTTTTGTTTTATTAATTTATTTTTATGTTCCCCAATTTGCAATTATTTTTGAGCATACCATGTATGAGATTGCCAATTGGTAGCCTCTTATGTTAAAGTGATAAAAAAAAAAGGAAACGGGCAGAGAGAGAGAGAAAGAAATGTGCAATGCCTTTGCAGGGTTGCCCACAACTCGTAGGTATGCAAATGGGTTGATGTATGTGTTTGTTTCGTCATAAGAAATAGGAAGCACACGAGTGTTTTTTTATGAAATCCACGTGGTGTATTCCCCAGGGTGGTGAAATTTGTGCCAAGAGGCAGTTACGCCACACCTCACGAAATACAGTATGCTGCCAATAAAAAAAAAAAGGGACAAAATACACATCACAATATTACCAAAGGGAGGGAAATAAAAATAAGGCGAAGAAAAGAGGCACGTAGTTGTGCTGTGGAGAGAGGCACAGAAAAAAAAAGCAGACTCCCTTTTCACACGTTATAAACTTTGTGGATGGCATAACGTGGGGGGTAACCTGTTCCCAATTACATTTGCCCGCGTATCATTCTCTTGGTCGCCATGCGGAGAACAACAAAAATGAGTGCCCAATAACAAGAGCCCCTGCCCCCCCCTCGCACATCCTGTTTAAAATGAACCCCGTCGTTTTACTATGTTCCTGGTACCTCTTTGGCTTAAGTATAGGAACAGACTTTGTTTGTTCTTGTTCTACTACACCGAAGAGTGAGGGTCCAGGAAGTTCGGTGATGTCCAAATTGAGGGACTTGTTTGGAACGAAACAGCAAGAAAGGGAAAGGAACATTATAACATATAAATTTGTAAAGCACACATGTGAGGAGAAAAGTCAAGGCAAAAATGACAAGAACCAAAATGGAAATGGGTTTGAAGTGTCTCATGTGAATAGGCTAATTTACATTAACGAATTGAAAACCTTCATCTTGGGTGCATACATACCATATATATATATGAGTGTGAGGGACATTTATATAGTGTTGAACAAAATAAAGGAGTTAAATTTTAATACAGTATATACCTTTTTGTTTTGGCCTGAAAATGAATACTTGGAAGATTTTTATGATACAACCAAGTCGAAGCTTTTCTACTTACTAAACTTTTGTGCATCCAATGGGCTATTTGTTATATTAGACATAGGGCCCTACATAGACAATATATATAACTCGAATATTCCCACTTATGTTTTGTTCAGCAAAAAATTGAATGAGTATATTAGGGATGTGTATAAAGAAAAGGAAAGGAAAAAAAGTATATTTACAAAAAGAATTGGAGATTACTTATTTTTGAATCTTTTTGGAAAGGGAAGGAGTGTGGTCGTAAGTGAAGATCCTGAAAATGTGAAAAGGGAAGACATAGAACATGAAATAGGTAGGAAGAAAGCTTCTTATACAAAGGGATATTATACATACAACAATATATATAGCTTGTATTATTTTCAGAGGGCTATAAAATGGTTTAATTACATTCTTCCTCGTTTGAAAAAATATTCCAACATAAATAATGGACCAATTATCTACCTGAACATTGACAAGACATTTGATAATTATTACATGTACGTAATTATAAATTTGAAGCGCAGGAATTATTTTAAAAACATATGCAATGTGGAGAGCTATTTTAAGGGTTCCAAATCGGAAGGGGAATCGTTTTTAAATTGTGTCCTTAATTTTTTCAAACGGGTTAAAAGGAGCTACATACTTACACTAGGGTATATTTTGTATGCTAGGTTTAACCAGTATATGAGAATTTTGAAGGAGTACGAATTAGGGTTGATGTACATTAACGAGATTTACAAATTGGTACAATTGCATTTCGGAAAAATTAACACGCTGACGACAAACTACCCTTATATTAAAGAGGAATTTATTAACTCTTATGCAGGGAACAATTGCTACAATCATTTTTTCCATAACAACTGGTTTGACAATGAGTGCATAAAGTTGAACAAGCCTTGTATCTGGTCACAGGTCTGGACTGGTGCCAAGTACAGCATACATAATGTTAACTCGCCTAGCATTTTGAGACGACACTTCCAGGACCCCATCGTGTATGATTCTTCCCCGTCGATCGTGTCCCCGGTCAGCGAACTGCTACCGCGCGAGAGCAGGAACTTTAATCTCGACGAGGTAAAGCAACCCCCCACGGGGCGCGAAGCGGGGGACGAAGCGGGGGACGAAGCGGGGGACGAAGCGGGGGACGACACATTAGACGAAACGCTAGACGACACGGGACATGCCGCAGACCAGGAGGACCTTTCTGAAGACTCCTCGGAGGACGCCC